CTGTTACTAACGCTATTGGAATCCTTGTTTTGCAAATACCTTTTTATTTATTTGTCCGTGGTGCATTTGATGCACTCGATTTAAAGCAACAATCCAGGAACGAATTCGCGGGTAAGGACCACCTATAATGACGTTGCAGGTGAGAAGTTGGTCAATGGAGAAAGAAAAAGTAGAAAAAAACGTCGGGCAGGGGCTTAGACAGGGACTCCCCCTGCCGTTTAGGGAGACGTGTGTTGGACGAGTTGTCCGAACCTGCCCGTAGTACATGCGCTCCAATTGCAACTGCTGGCAAATAGCCATGCATGCTTGCAAATACATAACTATTTGCCAGCAATCGTAAATTGAAGCGCGTTCAATTGCGTTCTTATAGAATCGACCTCATACAGCGCGGCGGTCCCGCAACGACCGCTAGTCGAGCAAGCGCTCTGCACAGCTGCTTGGAGGCGGCCCCACCACGGATCGGTGGATCCGCCCCTCTTGAAGGATTTCGACTGCTTCCAACGCCTTTCAGAGGTAAGTTTTGAAGTTTGTGACATTTCCCATGAACTCCAATCAGGCTGAGGCATGTTTCCACCACTTGAAAACCAAATGGTTGAAACCCTGCCTGGACTGTTGCTTTAAATAGAACGCAAACAGTACCTACCTAAGAAGGCCTGCTAGTCATCTTTACGAAACTATCCATGCCATAGAAGGGGGACATTGGGCACTTTAATCCCTCTCCCGTAATAACTTCGTATAGCATATAAAAAAAAGCAAAACGACCTGCGGGAAAAAATGAAAATTGCCCAAAGTGAAGTGTCCACGAATAGGATCTCAGTTCTCATCCCATTGCCACACCCAGCACGGTGCCCTTAAGTGCTTCATAAGGATCATAGGACTCCCCTGATTTTTGATACACGAATACTCTCATGGATAGCAAGTCAGATAAAAGTAAGACGGCGGTAAATGGGAAGAAAAATTCTCCGTGGAGCTATGATTTCTGATCATCAAACTCACCGAATATCTGGGACGTTCGTCCGATGAATGTCATTACCAAGCACTCCTTCTTCTTGATAATGTGGGCCTAGCCAGTGAATTTTCACCTGAAAAATTCTTATTTATGATAGATAATGCCACTAAAACTGAACTCCAGAAGTCCTGCATAGTGCTCTTTTAGGACGCATCGTTTTGAAACCATATTATGAAATGTACGCTCACTTTATCTTCGAATCCACTCTGAAGAACGCTATTGCGGGCCAGTTCGCAGCATATCCATTGCTCAGTTTCCATACATTATACGAAGTTATACGAATATCTTGGAATTTCGGACGCTACAGAGGGGCACAGTCAACTCTACAGCGAATCCTGTATCCTATCTGGATCGAGCTATCCAATTATCCAAGACTACGTCCACGATTTCTGATAGAAATCGCCTTTCCTCGACAAAAAGGCAGGCGTGCGCAAGGGAGACATTTACACATTTCTTGGTTGCCTATAACACACGTCGGGGCGCTATGAGAAAAAGAATAAGAATGTAACTGTGCAGTGGTTCATCGAGTATTCCTCCATTAAAGCTTCCTTAGTGTAATGGAACTGTAGAGGATCAGTGGACAATGAAACGTTAAGCCCCTAAAAGGAACGAAATCAGAAGCTGACATTGGAGAACGATGGTTACGAAGAGCAAACCTTCTGAAGATATTCTGGAAGCGGATTACGTTGATAACTAATAAATAACGAGTTATTTGATAAAGGCGACATCGCGATACCCATATTCGTTAGATAGAAAAGATATTGAAGTACTGGAACCTGAATTGAATTCATCAACCTAACCGAAACTTCTTTAGCCTGTGTCTTTTCTGGTATGTTCTGAAAGGCTTATGATCTTACACAATCGTTGCAGAATTGTCACTTCTGTTTAGTTACTGCAGCATGGATACGTGAAATCGTTAGGGAGGCTAGCTTCAGACGCCTGCAGTCCACTGTTGGCTGCGTAGTTGGCCATTAGTTGGAGGAATTACCGGGCCTACGATCATTCCACCACAATATGTGTACAGTCAGTTGGCTGCAAATTTGTCGGAGTATAAACATAAACTGGACGACAACGAGCGGAAACATAAAAATGAGACCCGTTTGCAGATATAAGCTGCTTGGATCGATTTTCAGCAGAACATTTTATCACGTTTCCTTCCCCTCCCCATTCCATGATGAAAATGTGTAAAACTGTTGTTGTACAATTTTTTATTCAGGTTCTAGAAAAAGCGGGGCTAATATCCGGGGCGGGCTCAGAGCCAACGGCGGGGACGGGGTCACGGGCGTTAATATCTCATATCCTAGGGGGGCATTCAAAAAAAGAGCGATGTATAGGTGAGAGCTAGCCTAAGAGCGCAACAAATGGAGAAACGTCAAGGAGACCAATAGCTCACGTGCTTCTACCCAGGAACCTCTCCTCTGTAGGGCTTAGTCAACACAGTAATTGGGGCACTCACTTGAGCCCCACCCCAGGACATTGATCCCATAGCAGAAACTAATACTTCTTCTAGTGGCGACATGGCTTCAGACTTTTCTATAGGATGGGTGTTTTTCAGAAAGTTCGCATCCCTTACGATGCAATCAGGATTTTGGAATTATACACTATATACGAAGAACTCATATTTCCTTAATGAAAGCTAGTTGCTTAAAAATATCGCGTTGATCCTTCCTCCGTCCATAGGCGGGACGGGACATCCGAGTGAGTGCGCCAATTGCTGCGCTGAGTCTAAGAAGGGAAAAGGATCCTGGAGGAGCATGTTGGCAATTTGTCTTCTCCCTGGCCTTTCTCCCCTTTGCTGGGCTTAGCCCTAGTCTCACCTACCATCGGCCCTGTTCTGAATGTACCCCTCCATGACATGAGCGCCGAGGTTTTTTTTGAATGAAGATATTTCTTGCAGTACAAACCTTCCGTAACAGAATACCGTGCGCTATACTTTCACTGGTGAGATATCCCGTAAGTAGGTGATTAACGTGACCAGCCTCTCCACAGTGAGGTCGTAGAGAAAATGTGTTCATGCCTCGCTCCCTGAAAATTGATCTCTCATGAATAATGAACTTTGAAATCAAGGATAAGATATGAAAAACTTAAAAACCATTCTTGAGATAATTTTACCAATAACAGCTTCGGACGTGATGTCAATGCGCTATCTCAAACATATCGTTTTTTTCAATTTGCAGCAACCCCTTCCAGTAGTTCCCATACCCATCACTGCTTGTAGTTTGCGAGGGATGGCGACCTACCACTCGGTTAATATGCTTTTGACCCTTTACCATTTTTTTGGCCTCAGAGAAGCTTCACGAAAGTTCACAAGAATGCTGGGTTGTGAACGAAAACTTTCGCCACGGCGGGACTCGAATCCCGCACCCCTTTCGCCGGCAAGTGCGCTACAAGTTACGCTACTAAGACACCATATCAGGCTAACGCAGCATTTCAGGTATATTTCTGTATAGACGTCGGCTAAGCGGCTCGTAACGTCACACCTCTAATAAGCTATACTAAAAATAACATGAAATCCCTAGCCAGGGTGAAACGGTTCCAAATCAAACTGTTCCAATACCCCTTACTTCCATATTCATATCCAAGAAAGGAGCATAAGATCTCTTGATTTCTCATGAACGCTTAAAAGGTCCCCATCATTGCTCAGAAGAAGACCGGCTTTGCTGTGCAATTTGGTAGGCCTGCTATTAACTAAACAGTCTCTGAAAAGCATGCTCGAAGTGGGAAGAATCCGACTTATGGAACGTTTAGTAGGTATGTACAACGTTTCGGCTTCACTTGTGTTAGTGCTACCAGAGCCCTGATAAACC